CCGAGTTAATACCAAAATCAATAATATTATCTTTCTCGTTATAACAAAGTCAAAAGTAAAAAAAAAACAATTAAAATAATTTGTGAATATCTGATCATTAATTTTATTGTATAGATTCTTTGTCGTGTGGTTTTTGGAAAGTACATAAGATAAACGCTTACCTAAATAAATATAAAAAGACCCCTCTGTCATTATATGGAAGCATTGCTTTTGTAAATGTTCTGGTCTTGTTGAATATTGCTTAAAGGAGAGCTTTTACTTACTGATAAAGTCCATGTATAGTCCATGAATCAAACCGGGCAAAATATCTCATAATTTTCGTTCAATTACTGTGAAACATTGTTAAGAGATTACAAGATTAGATCTTAATTACAATGTAATTTGCATTGAAATATTTTATCTTGAAAGTTAATCTGTATTTGTATTGTACAAAAGAACTATAGCCGGATTCTCACGTAGGAGAGTGTTGTACTGTTCACATATCTTTTAAAGAAAACATTTTTCAATAGCCTTTCAGGTGTGGTTTACAAAAACAGAACTAAATATGTTCTTTGAGCATGATAATCAATACTTTGTCATAAGTTGTTTTTTTTCTTTTGTACTCAACGTCAAATGTTTTTTTTTCTTTTAAAGTCAAATGATGAAATCCTTAATTATGTGTCAAAAGCAAGTAAAAGTCTAACAAATATTATATTATATATTTGTGACGGTTTCAGAACCTTAATATGCTTTTGTAAGTGAATGATTTATTAATAAATGCAAAAGATTGCGTTGAGATTGGCTAACTTACAGTAATAAAAATGAAACAGAACTACTAGTGTTTGTTAAATTTATGCTGATTGTGTTTATCTACCTGATTTTGTGTGATCTTGTTTAAACTGAATGTATTAGATGTTGTAATTGTTCACAAATTATCTTTGCTGAAATATAAACACTTATCAATTACGTCTTTATTTAAAATGGAAAATGTTGTTCGTACACTGTTTACTTATAAAATTTCTATACATTTGAACAACCTCCAAAAAAATAAACTTGCATATACTTAAGCAAGACAAAAATACAAAAAAATGTTAAACCGTCTTATTATGCGTTTACAAAAAAAGAAACAACTAAATATTAATCAAATCAAAATTTGTTTCTTATGTTCCCAATTATAGGACAAGAAATCGGTTTAAATGTTAATATGTAACAATGGTTGGTTAATCGAGTGTCCAGTAAAATTTCGATTGCTTTATGGAGCTAACGTCAAATAATTTTTAGTATCCTTCAATGTAAATGTTTATTATCCTTTTTATGTTTTCTAAACTATCTGCAATCTCATTAGTCAAATCAGCTTTATAATCATCTGCTTACTATTATTTCGTTAAAGAAATGAAAGGGAGGTGAATAAATAAAGAAAATTAGTCTTTGAATAAAAGGAACTTAATTATGTAAAACTACATATCAGAGTTACAACACACAGTTGTCATAGCATGGCTATTTAATGTTGAACTTATGTTCATGTCTCTAACGGCTACTTGAATGGAACATAGCAATTAATAATACGGTTATAGCCAGTTAAATATATAAATTGACCTTAAGAATAAAGATCATTTATGACTCAAATTCAATGTACTCAGTAAGTCTCATCAACTATAAAGGTATATGCTAAGAGACTGTTGAATCCATTAACGAGGAGGAAAAGGGAGATTTCTAAGTAAAAAAAATTCTAAAAATATAACAAGTTTAGCAACATCATCTTCATAAATACGTAACAGGGTAAATGACATTCAGGAATACTGAATGAGCCATAAGCTCTTTTAACAGTCTACTAAAACGCACGTTTCGAAACATTAATATATTTTCAGCAACCTTTTCACTAAACATGTTCGTTAAGTCAAAAGTCGTATACGTGAATTGGTCAGCCAATGGTTAGTGGACAATAAATTGTCATTGCACTTGGGTAAAACCGAGTCAATTTTATTTGGGTCCAGGCAAAAGCTTAGGTCACAATCTAACCTGCATATAACCTGTTCTGGTACATCCATTGAATCAACTTCATCTATCAAGTATCTTGGGATTACTATAGACCAAAATCTGTCATTTTGCGCCATGACCGAGTCTGTTCTTAAGAAGGCCAACTCTCGGTTAAAATTTCTTTACCGCAAGAAAGAGTTTCTTACTCAGCATACCAAGAAACTTCTGGTTATGTCTCTTATTCAGTGTCACTATGATTACGCATGCTCTGTTTGGTATAATAGCTTGACACAGTCTTTAAAAAATAAGTTACAAACTTGTCAAAACAAAATAATGAGATTTGTACTTGACTTGGACTCCAGAGCCCATATTGACCAATCCCACTTTAAGTCCCTTAACTGGTTACCGGTCCACAAAAGAGTCGAACAGATAATGTTGTGTCATGTTTTTTAGATAAAAAATGGCCTATCTTCGGATTACATGTGTGAACACTTTATTTCCCAAGATTCCATACATAATTATAGTACAAGACTTAGTCAAAAGGGTGGGTATTGTCTGCCTAAGGTCAAAGGCCAGGGTTCTAAATCCTTTGCTTTCTCAGGTATTAAAATTATGGAATGATTTACCTGTAGAGTTAACGGAGATCAACAGGTTACAAAGTTTTAAGGTTGCCATCAAAAAATCATCTTATGAACAGTATTTAATTTTTTTTACCATGTTTTTACATATTTCGGCTCAGGATTTTAAATTGTCTGCTATTTATCTTTTTACAATTTTAGTGATGTGTTTCCTAGCTGATAAATCCTAGCTGTAAACAGGAGTATCATTAACTCAAAATTTGCCTGTGATATACATTTTTATGATTTATAAGTATTTTTAAACATGATTATATTTAGGTTTGCCTCTCTATATCATGCCACCAATACAAAGGACCACAATGGAAATAAGAGCTTTTTTGCCCTTTTTTGTGTTATCCTTGATTTTGGTGAGTATGTCATAGTTTTCTCGTATGTGATATAGTATTTAATAATGCTCATTATTTTATCCTATGTTATATTGTCAACTATGTATATGCTTCCTTTGCCGAAATAAATCTATATATCTATCTGATATATTTAATAAAAAATGTGCACCATTTATTTGCAAATATATTTAACAAATTTATATTGTAGTTCAAGAAATATGATTTGTACGATAACATTTTTAGGTGAATTAATCTATTTTATCTTCAAAATAAATAAATAAATAACATCCGAAACATTTGTACAGAGGTGATGATGAAACACTAAACAGTCGTATCTTCAAAACTTTACTAGATGGCTGCTCTAGGTTCGAGCCTTACTAGAAACAATGATTAAATCTTCTTTTTCAATGCAGTTATATAGACCGTGTTGTGCTTTCAAACAACAACATCAACAACATCATCAGCAGCAGCAACAACAACAATAACAACAACAAAAAAGAAAAACACAACAAACGTTTATTACAAATTCTGTATAGATGGATTTGCAGGGTAAAAACTACCTATGAATTTTTCCGATCATAATGTTAAAGACACGTGTTTCGGACAAATTAAGTATGAAAAGCAAGATCAACAAGGAAGGTGGCATTCAATGAAGGCATTCCAAGCACACCGACAATATAAAATGTGTGCCGATAAAATATTCATATTTCACTTTCAAAATTATTTTTTATTTTCAGGAAAATACTGGCAAATAGCCATTATTCCTAGCAAGAACAACAAAGAATATCTTGAAGTTAAAAAGTAAGTTTCTAATCTAGTACATGTTATTTTATTTCATCTTTCTATTTGTTACCAGTCCTTTGTATTACAACAACTACAACAACACAAACCTAACATTTAGATATAATTGTCAATTGATTGTTATACAAATAATGGTACTGTAATAAATTTTGGAAACATTATCTTTTTAAACTGTCCATCAAAGTATTTTAGGGAATCAGCTATAAATTATTTGAATGGGTTAGTGGTAGTGGAAACAATCTTGCTAAAACATGTGTTGCAATAAAATAGTTTTCGATATAACAATTAAAAAAACAAGAAACTAAAAACAGAACAAATTTTGTTTTGCTTTTGGTAAATCATCTAAATCTAACAAGCAATTTCATTTAGAAAATAAACGTAAAATGTTATTTCATTTATCAAAATATTAACTGAAACATAAACGTTCTGAACATATCTAAATATTGTACTTTCAACCGAAAATATTGTGTTCGCCTTAAGTAATTGAAATATGACAATTGGTTTATTTCATTAGATTATTAGTTTCTTTTTTGAACACTTTTAAGTTGAACCAATCACACAAATACATACAAACAATCGGTTAAATATAAATATAAGTATTTTTTTTTATTTTTTTTATTTTACTTTTCCTGACATTTTTGTTTTAAAACCCAGTTAGAAATTCAAAATTTTCTTGTTTAGGATTTAGACCTCAGTGGAGCATCTATATGTCATCGACAAGAAACATAATTACATAATTTAGACGTTCCACAATCTGTTACTTGACATCTTGATCAAAAGAATACGATTGATATAAACGCGCCATGATAATATTATTAATCAAGAAAATATAATTATTGTGACCGAAGCTACTGAAAGAAGGTGTTGGTTGAATGAAAGTTTCTAATAAACAAAAAATCTGTCTGAAAAAGAAAAAAACAAGAGGCTGATCTTGAATTCACACAATATTAAATCAAATTAAAAAAGTATTTTAGGGAATCAGCTATAAATTATTTGAATGGGTTAGTGGTAGTGGAAACAATCTTGCTAAAACATGTGTTGCAATAAAATAGTTTTCGATATAACAATTAAAAAAACAAGAAACTAAAAACAGAACAAAACATTAAGTTGATCTAGCACAATCCTATTTTAATCCAATGTTTAGTTACATTAAAAAAGGAATAGGTTTCATTGATATTACCTGAATTGGATTTTGTTTGCAAAAAATTGTTTTGTGAAATATCAATTAAAAAAAACAAAAAAAAAAACAACAAAAAACAAAAAAAAACAAACAAACAAAAAACAGACAACCAAAAAATGAATGAACATGTGTCAAGATTGATAAAATTGACATATTTTGAAATTATAGTAATCACAGCACATATTTTGAGGTATGCCCTCAAAGTGTCGTTTTCAAACAAAATTTCAAAAATAAATTAAGCAAATTCAAAGCAAGGGATAGCTCTGTTATACTTCAAATTTTAAGCCCATATATAAACATGTTATAATTTGCTCGTAAAGGTATGTGTTGCTTCAGACATTTTCCAGTAGAGTCGTATTTTTTTCTACAAGAGTATACCTACAAGCACTTTGATAAGTTTTATGTTAAATTGTTTAATAGATCATGTGTTGAAAATCATATTAATGGATAATTAAGATGTCTTTTTTGGTTTATATCGCTTCTGAGGTGAAAACGGATCAACATGTTCTGCGAGGAAAGGTAAATTATAGATGAATACATATCTATTTTAATCACAATATTATTGTGATACAATTTATTGCAATTGATATCCTGCTCTTACAATCTAACGATTACTGACATAATATGGGGTAACATGTTCGTGAACTGAGTAAGTTTTCACATACGAAGGCAGACATCTAAACCACTATAGGACGCGACGAATTATATGCTATATAGTAAAAACATGGCATTTGTAAAGAACTATGTCTTTACTTGCTTATGTTTTTGGTATTTAGGCCAAGTTCTAATTAAATGTACAGAAAAATGTTACAAATACGAGCAAAGATATAATAGTTACATTGTATACAAAGACAGACATTACTGCTCCAGCTTGCACTTTTTATCACGTACATAGTTTGCAAGTTCTAAGCACACACTATTATCTTTCCCTTGAAGAATGTCAACATCGGTATCAAAATAATCTGATAAATGTCCACTCTTCAGAGTTGTCTTCAAATCTCTCAATGTTTCAACAAGACAAACATCCCGGTTGTTATGATGCCAGAACTCTGGAGACGTATGTCGCTCACATGACCAAAGTAACTGTGTCTGAAACAATATTACCGATTAGAAATTAAATAAGCAATAAAAGAAATACGTGTACATTATGTGGAAATTAAGATTATGGTATGCTGAAATAGGATTTAAGGTATGTTGAAAGTATATTAATACAGACACTATATATGCCAGACAACCTTCTAAAAATAGATCGAGAAATGGCATTAAAGAAATCGTAATTATATCGTTTAGAGAATTAGAAACTTGTTACGTATGAAGACACTTCTTTTGACATTTGTCAGTCTATAAATGTGCACGGCAGCTGAACATTTGTGAAACAAATTTCATTTAAATCAAAGAACTCCATTGCAGACATATTATGCCTTAGAAACGAATATTTGTGTTTTTTTCTTCTTTAGAAAGTGCATGAGTTTTATATCGTTTACATAATGGATTAAGACAAAAACAAAAACACAAAAAGGTTCAGGGATTGGCCAATGATTAACTTTTTGGAAATCATATCAAGACACCATATTGTTTTGAGAAATTAAAATTTGCACATTTTTATGCTATTATGGGCCTTTAAGTTACACTTTATTTATTATATAAAATTTGTCAACGGCAATGCTGTCGTTTATAAATAAATGGTTGTATCAGAAAGAACATAACGATCGTTTATGATGGATATTGGTGATATGTATTGCTAGCTCGTTTGTGATACAATATAACCTTCAAATGAAATCCAATTTTCAATAAAATATCTTGATAACAATCTGTTTAAAGTTTCGTCACCTTTAAGATATGAGATGACAATCCGCGAAGTCCGCTTGGCGAACATGATTTACAACTTTGCATGTACTTCTTCAACATCTTGTAAACAATTTTCCTACACCCGTTTCCCTCGTCCAATCGTGAGAAAAGGGTCCTTTCCGCTTTTGAGTACGAAATAGCCCAAAATTCATTTTTCTTAGGTACCAGGTGGGTTCCAGTTTTCTCCACATCTCTAATGGGCGATTCACTAAACGCTTGTTTTGTTTCACGACGTGGCCATTTTTCTATTGGAATACCGCAAGGCAAAGATATCGTTATGTCAACACTAATATGATGCTGAATCTCATATCGCTTTGGTGGATGGATGGTCAGCGTCAAAGCAGGTCCATGGGCGTGCCTACTAAGATCTACATCTGAAAAGGCAATTTTGAAACTAATCATATAGGAAAATAACTTGGCCGTAATTAGTATGTGTGTCTATTTTTTGAGGATGAGTATTTATTTTATAAATCTCCAATTTATAAGAAAAAGCTAACATTTTGTATTCATTATTGTAAATATATATCTCGATGTGAAGGAATGAATTAGACGTCATAAAGTGCATTTTCGACGGATGAAAATGTGAGATTTTGGCATTTAATCATTTAAGCGTCTTATCCGGTATATACTGTATTAAATATAAGCTACAACACATTTACGAGAATTTGGAAAATGATTCTGAAATCTCTTTAAAAACTAAAAGCTTTTTCATTGTGCATCGATCTTCAAAAATAATCTGCATATTGTACATGTATGATAGACCCTGATAAAGTACAAATACTTACAATTCAAACCTAAATTATCTTTTGCAGTTTTGATCTTTTGATGTAGATCACATCGAATCTCCCTTGGGACAAGATCATTTCCATGTAATAGTTCGCCTGGTACTTATCACAAGTGGTGGATACTATAGCGTAACCATTCGGGGCCTTGATAGCCGCTTCTGTTTTACTTAGTTCACATTTAACATTCATGTTTGTGGTATGTTCGGTCTGACAAAAGTTTGTATAAAATGGTGTTATAATTGGCAAGTTTTTTTATATTTAGCATATATGCACATAGAATGGGTCATTTTGCTTCAAATAACGAATAAACGCTGCAAACAAAAATGAGTAAGGCTGCTTACAGTTTTTCTGTAATAAATTACCTTGGCATACTTATTCCTTCAAGATATATCATACTCAATCTTGATATCAGATAATACTGATAATTAATACACAGACACTTGGTAATTATAATATAAACATGTTTTGACTTCATACAATGTAGATATATTTAAAATTCTACTCATAAAGTTGGTCACAATATTAATATATAGTGTCATTACAAAAAACTTTATATTTAAGGATGAAATTTATTTAACCTTAAATAAGAAACACCGCTTCCTATACCAAGTTTTCTCATTCTTTTATTCAAAGTGTACATATTCAGTAAATATTTCATAGATTTTAAAGGCCCATTATGCCTAAGAAATGCTATCAATTTTATTTCTCAAAAAGTATCTTGTTTCAGTTTCGAAAAAAAACAACATATTAGCCATATTCATGAATTTTGTCCTGCTACATTTGCTCTGTTGGCAACTGGTGTAATTACAGTGAATCAGTATTTTGTATGGAAGTCAAAATACTACTTTGTTTACATTTTTCTACCTTAACGACACATTACTGCACGTTCAGCGCTACTTTCTTCAGTTGTTAAATAGTTTACATGTTCTTCAATCATTATTGAAACATTACTAAACACATGTTTGACATTTTTAAAGAATTGAAAAAAATATGAATTTCCTAGGCATAATGTGCCTTTAAACGTGAATTTGAACTCAATAAAGCGTATCTAAAACACTTTTTTTTTACCTCGAAGGGCATTAGTCATCGCAATTGTTATATATATGTTCCTAAGATAAAACAGACAAAAATAAGGAACAATGGGTTGAAGAACAGATCTCGGAGAATGTATAGGTGGGCTTAATATGTTTCACATATTTTTGACCAATTGCTCAATATAATATTAACAAATTTCATGAAATTAAGTGGAGCATTAAGATAGCGTACACAATTCTCATATGTTACGTAAACAGTAATTTTATAAAATATCATAAAATTTGAACTTACTTCACCATAGGTGTAGTGTATAGATTTGCCGCGACTGACCTTTACATCTTGTTGTTCTAGTTTTAAACAAATATTGGTATCGAATTCGTCTGGTTTTCCGATTTTTGTATTCATCGGGAAACTACCAGCCTTTCTGTGGTTCGGGCAATATATATCGCCTCCTTTTTGGCCATTTACATGTTTCATTATTTTAGCTAATGTGTCGTTTACAAGTTCAACGGATATTTTCTTTTCATCTTTGTCAATATCTACCTTTTGAGCATAATATTCGTCAATAACTTTTTTCCTTTCAATCCTTTTCAATGCAAATTGCTGTTGTGTTTCAAAATTTCCAGACTCTACTTTAGCTGTTGTTTGACTTGGTTCAGATTTTCTTGTTTGCTCTATATTATGTTTGCCTTTGATTTGTCCAAGTGTTGCGCATTTTTCACTAGTCGGATCAATTTCATGTTTATCCCGTTGATGTTCAGACAACTCACTCGCATTTGTAAAGACTTTCAAACAATGAATACATTTTTCTCCATTGAGACTTTTTGCGTTGCAAGTCACATTGACCGAGTGATTAAAATCCTTCTCGTCGATTTTATGCTCGTCTTTCGTGTGCTGCGTTAAATGACGACCAAATGGACATCGTATTGGACAGAAGAAACAGCTAAATTTGTGTGTGTTTTGCTGATGATTGTTTTGGAAAGAAGTAACTTTTGTTGACTGGTTGCCTTGATGTTTGTCTTTTTGATGTTGTTTCAGCTTATATCGAGCAGAAAACTGTCTTTCACAAGAGGAACATTTAACACGCTTGGTTTGTTTGAAGTATGGCTTTCTAAACTTTGATTTATGTGCATTGCTTCTTTGGTTTTGTTTGGTTCTGTATTTATCTCTGCTACGCTTCTTTCGGAAAGTAAACCTTTTAGTACGTTTATTAGATGAATGCTTTCTGGAAGAAACTGTATTAAACGATCTGCTAGCATTTCGTGGTCTCCTTGATTTAGTACGTACTAACTTAGTTTTTCTGTTATTTACCTGTTTTGTTGCCTTATGTTTCGTATTTAGACAGCCCATTATCTCGTTGACAATGTCGTCTTTTTCTGTCTATGAAAAAAGGTATTAACAACGTAAATAACAAATATACTGAAAAGTAAACTTGTCAAAGAAATATAAGAATATCTGAGTTTGAGCATAGAGAATTTCTTTATAACCTCAGACCCTGACCATTTGACATTATATATACAAAAAAGTACAAGACTCACAAACTATGTTGAAATCATAAGCTGTTAAGCTCTTACATTTAAACAATATAAATGTTTGACAGAATGTGTAACTGATCTTTATGAAATTGAAATATTTAACATTGATGCGAAATATAATTGATTAACATAAATGTTTAAAGTACTAGTAATCTCGGGTTCAGTTTACCTTCACGAAAATTAGTAAGTCAACCTTAACTTCATTATGTAATTTATATTTTGTTTAATCAAAGCTATCAAATTAAACGATTGATGTTCGGCCTACCGATAGACCTATAAAAAATAACCTTTATTGGTATATCATCTTTCCGCCATATTCAGTCATATTTATGACTGTATATCAAGTGACAAATATTAAAGCATTATTCATGTCAACTAGAAATACGTACACACTGCACTTTATCTAAGATTTTAATTTGGCGGTCAGGGTATGGTTCACAAATTTTGATATTTCATATCCCAAAGTAAAGGAACTCCACTGATGTCTTAAACCTCAAAACGTACATTTTGGTTTATACAGAATTTGTCTAAGTTCTATTTTGTAGGAAGCTATAATGTTATAGATACACCTTCGAATCCGTTCCTGGAACCATTCAGTACTGAGCGATGGTTGCAAACATTTTGCTCAAGAAAACAACGACTAGCCACTGACGGAGTTTGAACCCATGCGGCAAGCGATAATCAAATAATAAATTTTGAACTTTTTACATAAATCGGCTGGGTCACTTAAAACAGTAAGTAAAGCAAAATTATATAATTATGACACATACTCGCAAATTAATTAAAAAATCGTATTCTTATGCTATTCTTTATGTACTGGTCTAGACTTACATCAAGTGAAATATCAATCTAAAAAAATGTTTCCAGTCCCGTCATCTAATAAAAGCCGCAGTGAAGTCCCTTTAATTGTATTGCACAAAATATTTTGTACACATATTGCTTTATAAGATTAACATTAACGTTGCAAGAAGATAAGTTTTTTATTGAAAACGTGTAAGATGTAAGTCCTCACAATATAAATGCTTAAAAAATCATTGTACTGATAAGGAAAATCGTACATCTTTCAATTTTGTTTACAATAGCGACAGGTAAAGCGTAAATCAATGCTTGGTTATCCAAGCATTGATTTACGCTTTACCTATCGCTTTTGTAAACAACTATTGTAAACGACTCTAATTTCATGAACAAAACAGCAGCTATTAACTACATGTACATGCATATATAGATGTTTAAACATGATAATAAACAAAATAACATGTTATCTGTTTACATGTAACCACTTTGACTTAAAACATTTTTAAAAAAACTTACCTTTTTCAAGTCCTATACATAAATATGTTATCACTATTTCAACAAAGGTATAAAAGCATTGTTAGTCTTGTGACAATTAGTCATATTGGGTTTACCAGTTCGTAATTTACGCACAGTGACTCCGCTGTTAACGCACAGGGTAGTAGGTGTCACGCAAAAGATAGTGTAAGCTGGGTAACATGTCTTGTCTACTTTTAAACTGTCCCTGTGTTCAGAGTTTTTAATTACCAAAACTGAAAATAATCAACAAAATTATGGTTGTTCTTAAGCAACAATACTCTAGTAAATCTCTGCATGATAAAACAAATGCGTAAAATATCTTTAAACAAACGCAAAAAAACACCAACATTAATTAAAGCTTTCAGTGAAACAGAACATTTTTAAAAGCAAAAATCTTAATAAAAAGATAAGTATTGAAATAAAGATGCTAGACATGATTACAAAGAACAATTATCTGAAGTATCATTTATTTTAACAAATAAAAAACTGAAAAAAACATTGTTTTCATATATTCCATTCATAGGAAGAAAGAAGAAAATAATAAAAATATATCTCAAGTTCTTAATAAATTCTAAGTTGAAAACAAGAATAATCATGAAAACCCATGTGCTAGACTATTAAGTCTCTAATATGATGTAGGTGTTAATAATGAACAAATATTTGAAATAAGAAGTAAACCCACGAATAAATAAGAAAACTTTTAGAATAAAGAAGGAAAATTCAAAGTTTAAATGGGAGATAATACTGAAAATACGGACACTAGATCCATAAACCGTGTCATATTATTATGATATGAGAGTTTGAAGTTTGAAATCCTTTAAGAATTGAAGCGGTATCAGTAAGTAATAATAATAACTAGAAAAAAGATCAAAGGAGACATAATTCTGGAAAAAGCCAAGCTAGAGTGTCGAATCTACTCACACATGATTTGATTTATAAGAAGGAACGTATACTTGGTGTTTGAGGTGTATTCCTTAAAAAAGAAAGAAGTTATAGAAAACAAATAACATTTTTTTTCATGAAGATTCTAAGTCAAACGTTGATATAACTTATAATAGAGGTGCTAGAATTATTAATCTTGCCTCAGCTTATGCTCGGTAATAATAAGATACATAGCTTTAAAGTTTGAAGTAGATACATTAAAAAATACAAAAAAGTACTATAAAAACATTTCTTTATGAAAAGTTCAGGCGGTTATTCTCAAAGTTTTCAGCTAGAGTTAGGAATCTTGTCACATATGATGTGGTTGATGATCAAAACATTTTTTCTTTTAAATTGAAATAAATACCTTAAGAAATAAATAAGTACTAGTGAAAAAGAATTTACTGAGTAAAAAGATTTATAAGAAATCTGGACGTAGTCGCCGGCGCTGCCTGAGTAGCACAGGTCTCAATATACTCTCTTTAAGCAAGCAGAAAATGTTGTGCATAAATTCCGTACTGCCATCTATCCAAATTTCACGCTTCATTAAAATAAATATAGGATATTTGTTTGTTTTGCATGTAAGATTGAAATATAATTTCACTGAGTGAACACCACATGCAATATTTTTACGAGTGGCGTAGCCACGAGTGAAAATATAATAGCTGGTGTTCACGAATGAAATATATTTCAATCTTATATGTAAAAAAAATAAATTTTCTTTTTATTTCATGCTTTTTAAGTGATTTTAATTATTTTTTACTGATTTTGTCGCGTAATGTCGCGCATTCTCCTTTTTGACGTCATCACATCATGACGTCACATCATCAATTTTGAAATATAGTTCTGTTAAATTTCTCTTATTTTGTTACATTTTTAACCACAGGCGCTAGTCACATAATCAAATATTTTACATAATCGGTCTATATATGTATATAAAGATATAAGGCCCCCAACGAAACAAAAACATCATGCGGAACAAACAAGAACAATGCTGAAAGAAACGACCAGATCACGGTTATCTCTTTCTGGTCGCCATCTGAAAGGATCAATTCAAGCGTTAAAGCTTTTTATTTCATTAAAATTCTTCAAATAGCAAAGAAATTAGTAAAAGTTTCAGTAAATGCCAATATTTTCAATCCATGTCGTTTTCGACGTCCAATCTATTCATGTAAACAAACACGATTTCTGGTCGATTTCTACGAAATGAATAGAAAACATCTAAAATTTCCTCATAAAATTCATAAACAAACTCTTTTTCTATCAATCTGCGAAGTCTAAATTGAACTAGATCCCTCTTTGTACTCAAATATTTAAAAAATATTGGTTGTAGAAGCGGAGGTCAAGTAAAGTGCACCATTTGGAATTTGAAGTGACAGATAAATGAAGCAAAGAAATAGTATTATACGATTGGTCAATAGTATTCCGGTAATTATCTTAACCAATCAAATCCTTATATAATATTCAGAGCGGAACAGTATATACATGCGCTATACATGGCGATAAAATACTGTCACAAGGGAGATCCTTGTGTATTTTTTAATGAATTACGTACGAAGAGGGCATTTGATCAGTGAAGACTTCGCAGATCGATAGGAAAAGAGTTTGTTTATGGAACGTACGTGGAAATTCTAGCCGTTTTTTGTTTTTTTCCGTAAAAATCGATCAGAAATCGTGTTTGTATACATGAATGGACTGGACGTCGAAAACGACATGAATTGAAAATAATGGCATTTTGCGAAACTTTTCCTTATTTCTTTGCTATTTTAGGGATTTTAATGAAATAAAAAGCGTTGGCACTTGGATTGATCCTTTCAGATGGCGACCAGAAAGAGATAACCGTGATCTGGTCGTTTATTGCAGCAGTGTTCTTGTTTGTTCTGCATGATGTTTTTGTTTCGTTGGGGGCCTTATATCTTTATATACATATATAGACCGATTTTGTAAAATCTTTGATTATGTGACTAGCGCCTGTGTTTTTAACATGATGTATGGTGACTTCGACTTTCTTTTCCTAAAGAAGCAAAATTTACGCATGACGGCATTTATTTCTGCCTGTTATTCCATTTCGTTATGATTTTCTTTTCATCCGCATTCAGATATAGTTCGGCTACAGTGAAAATTATATTTTATAAATTTCACTTGTGGTTTATCAGAATATAATCATCTGATATATTACAATAAAACACTGGAAAGCTTGAAATAAATAAGTATTTTTGCAATATTTCAAAGAAGTTGCACCAACACATAATGTTGATACAGCATTCCATAAAGAAAATGAAAAACAAGATCAGCAAGAAAGAGCGGTATTCAATGTTTGCACCTATCAACACAACCTAGCAACACAGGACCAACGACAAAGATAAGGTAATATTACCGCACGTGTGATAATTACGCGACACCGGCAAAGAGCACATCAGTAGGACACCCTTCCAACAAAGAGTTGTACTGAAATTATGAATATGTAAATAGTCAATATCAAAATAAAAAGTTTCCTTTTCCAATTAACTCTTTCATCAAAACGTTCTTGTGTCTGTAGAAAGCTACTAATGATGACTAACATATTAAGCGCAATTTAGATAAAACTTAAAATGCAGTAAAACATTGAATACAGCATTGATATGATATAACGGTATTGATAGTGTTTGCACATCTTAACCTTAGCCAGACTTATTATCAGTTATTACAAAATTTCGAAATAAACCATGCGGATTTTAAATTTATGCCCAAGTGAAAGTTAAACTATGCCAATAAATTTCGTCTTATATATAACTAGTTCTTCTGGTTGTAAATTAGCACGGAGAAATCATTATTGTGAACAATTATGGCAAGTATTTACAAACTTCCTCCAAAGATAAGAAAGTTATAACCCGGACTCGACATATACCCTCAAAAAGACAATGTTGCCCTTGAATGAGCAAGTGCGATCTTGACCCTTAGGTAGGGGTCTGGTTGTTGTGCGTGACACATCGTCTTATTATAACAAACATTTGTGCCAAGTTATTTCAAATTCCTTTGATAAATGACAAAGTTATGGACCGGAAACCAAATATACCCTGTAACAGACTATGTTAATCTTTGACCTCCAAGTGTGACCTTGACCTTGGAAGTAGGTGATCTGTTGTTACAAATGACACATCTTCTCATTATTGTGAGCAATTTGGCAAGTATTTTCAAAATCCCTTCAAAGATAAAAAAGTTATGGACCAGACACGACATATACCCTCAAATAGACAATGTTGACCTTAAATGAGCAAGTGCCACCTTGACCCTGGAGGTAGGGGTCGGTTGTTGTGCATGACACATCGTCTTATGATAACAAACATTTGTGCCAAGTTATTTCAGATTCCTTTAATAAATGACAAAGTTATGGACCGGACACGAAAGTGTGACAGACGGACGGACAGACGGATGGAGCCTATTTCTATATCCCCCTTTTTTTCTTTGAAAAAGGCGGGGGACAAAAATTATGTATCAATGTAATCATTTGCGCGGGATTACAACCCACCAGGGTTTTTCAGTGCTCTGCCTGGATCGACCGTGGCTCTGCCTGGGTTAGTTGGGAATTACCGTAGTGCTGCCGTGGTTAGTGTGACCGCAACAATAATTTCAGCCCCGGATTTTCCGTATCATCCCAATAACTTATTGCGGTGGTCCTGGGCTCTTCTGGAAGTAAGGGAGACCGCAGCTTAAAACTCACTGGTGAGGAGTTAATTAAGGGCTTCTCCCCCTCATACAAAAAAGGTCAAATTAAGAAGTTGTTCTATTACAATGTCTTATCAAAACTAAAGTTACATAGACAATAATTAAATATTTAACAATATTGGGTCATATGGGGGTTGCGTTCATTGAACGCCGCCTTTCCTTGTTGATCTTGTTTATCATATTTAAAACATCATAAATCATTAATATATGCAGGTAATATTTATTAATATCACAACTAGGGTGAGAAAAAAAATGCAGCCTGACTAAGACTCAATCCAGAGACCCTCAGAATACATATACCATACCTCAGCACTACCAAAAAACCCAGAACCCTTGGAATACCATACTGCAGGTCTACAGCTTAAACATTTTCTCTCATCTTTACATTGACATAACCCCCATTATGTTGGAATTTGTCTTTTTTCATTGGAACACTTAAGTTACTAAGTGAATTGACCACCATAAGCTTCATATTGGACCCTTAAGGTAACAGGGAGA